GAATCACTAATAGAACCTTAGGGTTAGGTTCTACCGGAATTGGGGATTTGGTGTAACAAATGAATCACCAAGATGGTGATTAGGTTGTCTTGGAGAATGGAAGAAGGAAAGGGTTTTTGGAAATGGCTAGGTTGAGGGGAGAAGGCTGCCGCCGACAGCAGCAGTAGAGAGGGAGGAAGGGCTCGGCAGAGAGAGGAAAAAGAGAGAGATGAGATTAGGGATTATTTTAGGGTTTAATCTTGCTTAGTGGCTTAATCCCACTTACAAGTTACTTATATAATAATTGGCTAATTTCCGAATACTACCCGACAAATAAATTATCCCCCAATTCCCGAAATAGTCCCATTAATCTGAAATAGCAACAATCCGACAATTAACTAAAAATACTGAAAACTGGTTTCTATCATCCCCGCTTCCTTCGAAAAACAACCTTGTCCCCAAGGTTGTTCCTCTAGCTCACTGGGTCTCTTCCTTGCCATGCCCATCTTCCTCGGCCTCATCTTCTGCTTCATCTTCCCAGCATCCCACCAACATCATCAAGTCCGGCTTCGGGCACTGGTGCCCGATGGTGAACCGCCCATCACAATTGAAGCACTTGCCCTCCCGCCTCTTCTGCTCTATCTCGGCTGGTGACAGTCGCACGAACCCTTTTGGTATGGCCGCGGTCCCATCCTGGCCACAGGAGCAGAGCCTCCACCGCCAAGGTTAGCCCCGGTCGTGCCTCCCCCGGTCGTTCCACCCGCGCCTCCACTACTTCCGCTACTGCCTCCACCGCCCCCTGGCTTCGGAAAGCGGCCAATGACACTCCTCCAGCTGGCCAGCTCCTCCTCTTTATGACCTGCAAGATGGAAAGCCGCCTTCAGGGACTCAGGCTCGAACACCCTGACTGCCGCCGCTATCTCGGGCTTCAGACCCGCCATGCACAGCCCAACTAGGGTGTCTTCTGAGACCCCTTTACACTGATTCCCCAACTTGAAGAACTCTGCACGGTATTCAGCCACCGTGCCAGTCTGCTTCAGTTTGGCCAACTGCTCAGGGGCCCACCCGTCTGACTTCCCAAACTGATAGCGAAGCTCCTCCTGGAACATAGGCCAAGTGATCAGAGTGAAAGCGGCTGCGTACGACCGCTCCATCCATTCCCACCACTGCAGTGCATCCCCCTCCAGATAGAACGATGCCAGATAGGCCTTCCTCTCCTCCGGGATCGGGTGGTTTCTAAACCACCTCTCAACTGCATACAGCCATAAACCCGCATCCTCTTGCCCATTGAATTTAGGGAACTCAATGGTCGGAGGCTTAGCTCGAAAGACTACTCCATCCATGCCCTCATAGTTCGTGCAATGAGACCCATACCTGTCATTTCCTGGAGTCCTCCACGGCTGCCCGAAAGAAGAGCCCGGGTAGCTGCCTGGCCAAAATCACCCGGGTAGCTGCCTGGCCCGTTCAGATACCCTCCTAGCGCAGGAGGCGCCCAATACGGACCCTCCCAACTGTCTGGTTCCCTGCTGTCCACCCTCCTGTGATGCTGAACAGTCGGGCTCGGGCGATGTCCGGTCCGACCCACCTCTGGTCGACCCAAGTCGGTCCAACCCGGTCCAGTTCGACTCAACTCGGCCCGGTCAGCAGCTGCCCGACCGATTCCGGTCCGCCCCCCCCCCCCCCCCCCCGGTTCGGTGGCCCTCCTCGGCCCGCCTGGCCGCCTCAGGCCCAACTCTGGTTCAGCCCACTTGACCGGTTGGTCCGCCAGGCTAAGCTCATCACCATCGGGCCCGTCTTCCAGTCCCAACCAGCCTAGGCCATTATGGATCTGTGTGTATTGGCCCACCAAGTCCGGTTCACGGTTCATGAAAGGCCCGTCACCCTCGTAACCGGGCATCTTGGCTTTTCCCTTCCCTTCCGGGCTGCAATCTCTTGGGCCGTAGGCGTCGGCAACAGGCCCGGGCCATACCTAGCCCAATCTGCACCGGCCCAGTTCCCGCCCCGCCTCCTCCTGCTCGCGGTCCAGCCCCGACCGTCACCGCCGCCGCCGATCCTCGTCCCGCCGCCGCGAGTCCCACGCGGAGTTGGGGGTCGCCGTCTTCCCTCCCTCCTGGATCGCGCCACCCCGGCCCGCTGCGGCAGCCGTCGCCGTGCTGCCTCCGCCGGCCTCCGCTCCTGCCGCCACGCCCTCGCCCGAACCACCCGCCGCCACGACGACCGCTAGTGCGCCCGGGTCTCCCGCGGCGCGGTCGCCCCCTCCTGCGCGCCCCAGCGCCTCGGCCAACATGGCCTTCAGCTCGCTGATGGCGAGCCACACCTTCTGCGTTTCCACCTCGCGGGCTCGCGCCTCCATCTCCCTGGTTCGCTCGCCCTTCAGACGCGATCGGCGCTCCTGCTCCATGGCCTCCGCCATTTTGGTCATCTCTGAACGGAGCTCCTCTCCCAGCGTCTCGTCCACCATGCTTCCATCCCGTGGACCGGGAAACTCGAGCGCCTCCTCGTCGGTGGCCAGGTTGCCTGCCGCCGCGATCTCAGCCTCCTGCGCCGCCTTCGCGGCCTTTTCAGCTGCAGCCTTTGATTTCATGGCCACCATCTTGATCGACGTTCTTCTGTGCTCAGGAATCAAGAGCCAGGCTCTGATACCAAATGATAGAACCTTAGGGTTAGGTTCTACCGGGATTGGGGATTTGGTGTAACAAATGAATCACCAAGATGGTGATTAGGTTGTCTTGGAGAATGGAAGAAGGAAAGGGTTTTTGGAAATGGCTAGGTTGAGGGGAGAAGGCTGCCGCCGACAGCAGCAGTAGAGAGGGAGGAAGGGCTCGGCAGAGAGAGGAAAAAGAGAGAGGTGAGATTAGGGATTATTTTAGGGTTTAATCTTGCTTAGTGGCTTAATCCCACTTACAAGTTACTTATATAATAATAGGCTAATTTCCGAATACTACCCGACAAATAAATTATCCCCCAATTCCCGAAATAGTCCCATTAATCTGAAATAGCAACAATCCGACAATTAACTAAAAATACTGAAAACTGGTTTCTATCAATCACCAACCTCATGAATCTGCTCGTCACTTCCTCGACGAGGCAGCAACTATTTTTGTTTGAAGCGCCATTTATCCATTAAGAACGCTTTCAATTGATTCTTATATCGTCGAATCTGAATTTTCATCTTTGAACAACGGGAATTAAATATCGTGCTAAACGATATCGCATAAGTTTCTATACAAAATCAAAACAGTACTTAATAGATGATAAATGCATGAAATAACGTAGGCATGTCATTATCTCATTCAAAGTGATGCATGAAGCATCATAGAATTCACATCCTAAATAACAATGGCTTTTAGCTAGCCATAAGAGAGACAGAGACAAAGATGATACCATCATCGTTGATGAAGGATTCTCCATTGAAGGATTCTCTCAAATGGATACCAAAAGGATCGAACTATGAAATACCTTTCGGTTAATCCCTGACAATTTGAGGATTCCAACCCCGATTCTTCTAAAATCGTGTTTTGTGTATATGATGTGTGTAAAGCTCTAGTTCATGCCTCTATCTATAGTACTAACAAGGAGGTGAAGTGAAGGTTGTTTACACTTTATGTGGTATTTCAAACAAAAGACGTACTTCTCGAACTTTGATTATCCTCAAAGTGTTTTTACACAAAAACAACAAATTAGGTCGACCTAATCCTATATGAGGTCGACCGAAAAGTGCATGTCACCGTAGCAAAACCCTAATAATAAACCCCTAGAATTTGTTTTATGGAACCAACGCCGCCTCCTACCATTCCCTTCGTTCGCCCATGATTCTCCGATAGCCTTCGTCAAGCAGCAACGTCGACCTCTTTGGCGCCTCTAGCTACGGGAACCTGGAGAGCGAGAGGAGAGGAACTTGCCTAGCAACATGCTTCTCCAGATTTACGACTACCTCGTCGATTGCGTTGAGATCAGAGGCGGCGGCAACATTGTCGACCTCTTCTTAGGTGTCCATGACCTGTCCGATCGAAGTGAGCAATTCTGGTAGCGGTCGTGGGAAATCAAGTGAGTCGCTGTCAAAACCATCATCAATCTTCCTGCAAGTGTGTGAGCGAATGATGCCGATGTAAAATCCTCAATTAGGGAATAGAGTAACCTGCAGAGACAGAATGGATGCAGCTGAATCCAATGCTCGCAGCTCAACAGAGAGCAACGAATCGAAGGCCTCCCACAGCCACCACACGCACAGCAGCACATATCATCATAAGTCGTTGAGCTTCTTGTTCGAGGCAAGCGAGACTGAGCGGGGGAGGCAGAGGAAGATGGCGGTCGAGCTGTGAAGACGACTCTATCCGTCGACGACCTGGAGCGCGCCACCGATGAACCCTGGGCTGGCGATGGCAATCGAGCGGCTGCGAGAGCGGGATACAAATGTGCGCTGCCTGAAATGGAAGGACTAGGTCGAGAATGCTTAGGGTTTTCCAGACCCCTATTTTGCTTCGCCTTCTCGCCTTCTCTCAGCAGAAACGACGCCGCACAGGTTGTTCTGCTTCAGTGCTTCTCCCTCTCGCTTCGCTTTTTCCCAGCAAAACGGCGCCGTAATAGACAAAAACGGTGCTCAGGAAGACTGACCCGCTCTAACGGACTGACCGCCCAGATTTCTCGAATTTGACCGGGTTTCGCCGGGTTTGACCAGTTCCAGACTGATAGTGAAAAGGGTTAATACGACCCGTTTTTTTAGGTGGGTCTGGACCAACCCCGATCGATACGCGGTTGACAACTTTGTTACCAACATAAAAACAAACGTAGTTAGTTTTTCCGAATGGAACGTTTACATACGTACGCAATCAAAACTATCTTATTAATTAAAAGCAATTCCCAAACCTGATTGCGTTGCCTGCTGAAACTGCTCCCTTCTGTCCCACTTCACGGATCGGACATAACAATGCACAACAGGGACACTGTAATTTGCTATATAAACCCATCTCCAGCATGAAAGCTATATATCTCTCCACTCCCCGTTTACCCTATAGCACAAGATGGCCAATTTTATCCCAACATTTTTACTGGCATTGCTAGCAACAACCTCAATAATTATTCATGGCACAGATGCAACAGAGTTCTTCGTGATCAACGCGGCTGGAAGGTCGAAAGGCGGGAAGCTATTCTCGAGCCAAATCGGGGAATCTTACACCAAGATGAAAATGGCAACTGCTTCGAATTTCATCTTCAAGATGTTCAACCAAGGCAACGTGACCGATCGAAAAAATGTCCACAACATCACCCTGGTGATCGACGATGTAGCCGGGTTTTACCAGACCGATTGCGAGTTCCACATCGGAGCAAAGTACCTGGCAAACCTCACCAGCCGTGAAGTGAAGGTCGAGTTCACCGGACTGGTTTACCACTACATGACCTACGTATTGGGATGGGATGGGAGCGGGAAAGCGCCGGCTGGCTTGCGGTCCGGGCTTGGGGATTACGTGCGGGCCAAGGCCCATTATGGGCCGAGGAAGTATTGGGCAGGGAAGATAGATTTGGGGGCCCGGTGGGACCAGGGATACGACGTCACGGCCCGGTTTTTGAATTATTGTGTTGGGCTGAGGAAAGGGTTTGTATGGGAGCTGAATAAGATGATGAAGGATGGGTATAGTGATGGGTTTTTCAAGAGCTTGACTGGAAAGGATGTGGATCAGCTATGGCGGGAGTATAAGGCCAAGTATGGAAGAATAAATTAGGGTCTTCTTTTTTGGGCCCTCTATAGATGATCACAAAAGCTGGACGTTGAGAGAGGCATTGTTGATTGGGAATTAGTTAGGATTAATGACTAATGATCAGTTGAGGTAATAAAGTCCAGCGAGGGGTGATTAACTAGAGGGTTTTTAAATTTGTTACTGAACACTTTAGATTTCACAGTTGAAATGGAGGGCTAGCTCGAATCACCACAAATGTTAGATGTTTGAATGGGGAAGGATATTATAAATCCTTTTCCGCAGTTTAAGACTAATTAATAAAGATGTTTTTATGGATGTTGCTTTTTATTTGTGAGGCGACTTTCTTGTTTAGAATTATGTAATGTTAGTTCCAAAATATGTTGATCAATGTTAGGTGAAGTGTTGAAGTTTTGTTGTCACGTACGAATAACATTAAAAAAAATTGAATAGAACTAACTATCTTATCTGAAATTAAGAAATCAATTTATAGTTTTACCAAAGGATTGAAGATTACTGAACTGTCGTTTCTGAAATTGGTGTTTAGGTGAGTGGGAGGACCCTGCACTGATGAATCCAATACATATTTTGAAAATGAGCTTCTTTGAAAGATTAAGAGAATCGATATGGGTAATGAGCTGAAGAGCCACATGCAAAGTAGATCCACCCGCCATAAAAGAATCATGTGGGTTCGAAAAGTTGGCTCGTTGCCCAACCAGACACCATAATTCACTGGATTACCCAACCCACTACCACTTTGTAGTAAGTGTGATGAGCAAGCTCAATTCGAGTATGATCTAGGCCCTTGTAGTACATAACCCAAATCCAAGTACAGTGGTCCTACCCCCATCCCAGTTACTTACTAAATCGATTATGTCAAACTTGGGTTTGAAGAGTTTTCCATTTCCAAATGTAACTTGGGTTGTGTTGTTATATTCTGAATGATAAGCGAGATTATCCAAGTTCGAGCTTAAACGATGATTTGTGCCTGAGTCCAGAAGCCACGGCTAAGGATTGAATGGTTGGGCTAGAAAATAGGCAAAATGGGTTTGTGGACCAGTAGGGTTGGGAGAGGAGTATTTTAGGCTTAGGCAGTGTGTTCAAAAGTCCCTTATCCCCCACAATTGTGACACTAGAAGGACCAAGAAGGCTCGTTGAGGACCACCCACGAAAAGAAAATGTAGGGTTAGAAAATAAACAACCTAGGCACCCTGCTCCCCTTCCTCGAGCACGAGTAGATCAGCCACGCAAACCAGAGGTGTTGGTGAAGAACGTGAGGGATGGCCGGTGATAGAAGGATCCGCCCGCAAAGAGTACTTCAGTAGTTCTATTTCTTTGTTAAGAAGCACGAAATAGAAATCTTGGAAAGAAATCAACTCTTTCTGAGAGTCAATATGACGAACAATGGGTAATAAGTGGTTGGTATACTTCCATTGGAACCTGACTGGGTTTGAGAATCCCCATTAAGGGGTGGTCTTTGTTCACCATAAATTGTTAATTAGAAAATAAAAAGACGAAGAAAAGGAAACAAGAATGCGATGAAGAACAATGAAAGGGGAATAAGGAGAAGAAAAGCAACTGAACCCTAACTAGGTCTGAATTAAATCTGTGACGAGGCCATAAGTTTGGCGCGAAGCACCGGAGTGACAGATCTCAACAAGTTGTTCAATATCGAAGACGCGGTCAAGTATCTTGCCGACATGGAAGAGTTGGACGAAGAGACCCGCATCTCCGCTCTGCACGAGTTTCAATCGAATCTCAAGCAACAAGACCATAACAAAGAAATTGTTTGTAAAGTCACAGAGCGAGAAGGGTCATGTTGCGCTTCTCCTCCTACTTCCTTTTCTATTCGGTGCAAAAGATGTCGTAGGCTTACAATCGTGTCACTGTCTTTTTCAGTAGCTGGATGACGTTGTTCCCGTAACTTGCTTTTCTTCCCGCTGCTTTCCTTGGTTCGATCCATCATAATCACTTCCAATGTCAAAAGAAAATACTTCTTCTGTTACTCGGCACCACCATCGCCAATGGTCATGGTACTTTAATTAGGGCATTTAAAATAAGGCTAATGAAGAACTCTGATCGTCCATCTAGCTTGGACTTGTCTCAAGCTCTCGAACCTAACCTTAACCAAAACATCGGAGGAGTTGCAGCTTAGCTCTCGGAGGAAGATCTCCCTATTCTTGTAGAGGGTATTGATGGTCTAACTAAACAGATGGTAGATTTTCGCCTCAAAGGCCAATGTTTCTGCTTCCGTCATTGTTGTTGTCGCAATGGAATTGCAAAAATAGCCAGATTTTTTGACAGATCATGGATGAAAAGTCAGAGTTTTGGTGAAGCTTAGGGGCAAGTAACCTCTTCATGCAATTTGGGGATTTTAGACTTTGAGACACAATCAGTATAATTTTTTGCGAATCGTAAATACGTTATATTTGGGCTAAGTAACTTCTTCACATCGTATATACGTTATATTCAAATAACATTCTGACCCAATGGGTTGGACACCAAATTAGTTAGTGTGATCAAGAATAAAGAGAAAGAATTAGTATAATTTTTTTCCTACTCTTCATGAGCAATGCAGACAAAAACGCGCGTGAAAATGCAAAAACACACATTTTTATGTTTTTTACTAGGAAGAAAGGTTCCGTTTCTATTTAAAAATGTATTAAATGTAAAAATGTAAAAAAAAAAAAGATAAAATTGGTCCTTAACACGTTTCTGCTTCGTTTTTACGTTTCTAGTTTAACGAGTTTCAACCAATTCCACACCATCTCTGATAAAGATCCCCGAGCTCGTGAAAGCTTAGGTTCTTCTGTCAAATCCATACAACTTCAATCAAGCTTGGATAGCTCGATTCGATCTTCAAATAAACATAAAATAATCGGTACGTGAGGATAGATACTCGCCACAATAAAGTGTGATCGCTTGATTGATAAGAGTCTTGCCAATCTCTTCAGGAATTTTCAAAAGAAAAACTCAAACAAGGATTTGCCCTAGCTATGAAATCCATCAAAAGCTAAAACAATAAACCATAAGTACTCATCCTCCATGGGGGAGAACTCCTCAGAGTTAATTTTCATTCAAACAAAAATTTCTCTCTAAAATTTGTGTTTACAACCCTTTATATAGCTCGAGGCAAATAAACTAACCAAAAACCTAAACCTAATAGGAAGGCCAAACTCGGCCTGACCCAAACCCCGGTCTAAATATCTGGTCGGGTATTTAAGTGTGCTGAACAGAGGGTATTATGTGGGAAATACCCGGTCACTTCCTCCATTTACCCGGTAGGGTAATCTGCTTCCGCGGGAATCATATCACTTTCTTCCAAAAAATCGAAAATAAGAACATCAATCTCGACTATAAAATTAACCAAAACTGAGTTTTAAACCAGTCCATAAAGTTTGAGGACGATCCAATGATTGATTTCTCCTAAATCCTCCTGGGAACCAACTGCCCAGCAACATTTCTCAACAAACCAGACATTAAGAAAGTACGGAAGTGTCCTCTAAATTTGTGGAAAATCCAACGAATGGTATTATTGAAACCACCTCTTGAACTCACTACTTTGATGCAAAACGAAAATTTGTGGTGATGAGGGTACGAGGAGTGGCAGAGGAAAGAAAGGACCGAAAAGAGGGAGGCGAAGGAGGTGAATGAGGGTGTAGATTTTTGCACATTCGTTCGCTAAAAATCTCTCTATAGTTCTCTTCTTCACCAATCACAAATATCCAAATGGCCCAACCAAAAACTTGGTTGCCACTTAAACCATCCAACTTTTCATTAGTTACTATTAGGCTCTTCAATTTTCAATTCACTTCACATTTTTAAGATTTAAAATGAGTTTAACCATAACCCAATTGATGAACCACCTTCCTCATGTCGTAGTTAATCAATTCAACGATTGCTACATAATTTCATACTCGCCCAAATATTGAAATGACGTCACCTTGATACGAGCATGACATATGACATGTTCAAGAGGGACAAGGATGTTATATTGCATCTTCATCAAATAGTTAATTTGTTGTTTGATGTGCAACTTAAGTTATTGATATTTACTAATGATCTGATTTCTAGCATTAAATGGGCGAGGAACCTTATAACAAAAGATGTCTTAGTAATTCTGTTTGATTTGACATTCAGATTGAAACAACATGACCGATAATGAGGTTTATTTGCTAATATGTTATGCTTTTTATGAATGAAGAATTCTCATTATTTCCTTATTGCATTGTTGGTTTATCAGTACATTGCTCCATTATTAAAAGTTTTTCAAATAAGATTATCTGCATGAGTAGTGACCTTTTTAAATGAGACTGATAATTTGTTGAAGGTTAATCACATTATACGGCTAAATTACACGTTTGATCACTCGAATTACATAAATCTTTCACGTTTGCCACCCAAATTACTTTTCTTTCACATAGCCACTAACTTTATGATTCGTTTTACCGTTAGTCACCCTCCGTCAGACTCCGTTAACCCCGTCAAATTTTGATGACGTGGAAAACGGAAGTGCTGACTATACCGTTAAGTTAATAACGTGTCCATTTTAAAATAAAAAAAAAAACAAAAAATAAAAAAGAGATTACACCTTATTCTCTCCTCACAAAAACCTTTCTCTTCTCCTTCCTCTTCGCACGAGCATCAACCAAAAGATAGATCAGACTCTCTGATACCCCTGTCGGGAGTCGAACCAGGAAGGTTGAATCCAATCCGCCGCCTTTGTCATCAATCGCCCTCCGAGGTCGTTTCAGCCATCGGCGCCATCGATCTGCCCGTCGCGTCGGTGAGGTCACTGTTACCAACACCGTCGAATCAAGATTCAGCGGTACCACAATCATCTTCTCTCGCGGCCGCTCGTTGCTTTTTCTCATCCCAGTGCCGCTCATTGCCGTAAACTCCGCCGTCGTCAGCAACCTAGTCCGACGCACCACCAAACTTTCCCGTTGCAGTCGGAGCCGCCACCGTCTCGTCAAGACCAGTTGATACAGCCTAATCTCCTGACCGTTGCTACAACCTTAGCCCGG